ATAGCCATATTCTGGCCGCCCTGTATTAGTAATTATAAATGTTATGTCAAATGATTTTGCATCACCAAAATCTTTGTGTAATCCGGCTAACTTTATGCTAATTAGTTATAATTTTTAAACTCTATCAACTAAATACAGTTAAAAGCAATTAACGTTGTTCATCCAAATCCTGTTTATTATTTATCATTAGTTTCATTATAAATTAATTTTAAAACACTTACGTTTATACATAACATCAAACATAAGACCATGGTTAAAACAAGTTTCAATGCTTTTGTCATTTGATTTGCATTGGACTCCATATGAGATGTTTAATATATGTGATAGGTATATTCAATATAAATACCTCAGTTTAGTTTGAAAACTTAGTAATGTAAAGCAAAAGCTTTAAATTAGCATCTTACTCGTATATTTTGTATGCGTAAGATGCTAATTTAAATCTTTTGTTTTATATTACTAAGTTTTCAAACTAAACTGAGGTATTTATATTGAATATACCTATCACATATAGTAAATAAAAGTTTTAAATTCTAGTTTCTAATTCTTATCATAAAAAAAGTTTTTTTAAAGTTTTATAATTATCATTATGAAACTATTAAAATTAAATACGTCACCCTGATATAAAATTAAAATTACTAGTATTTTATACTTTTGATAACACATAATCATTTAGATATTACTGCTAAATATTTGCAGAAATATTCATATAGTAATAGATTTGTTCATTTGATTAAACTATAAATTACAAGTCATTATACAATACATTAAAATCTAAGAATTGTTGCCAAACATTATACAGTATTCATTTAAATTAGTTTTATTTGTCTAAACAGATTCAATATTTATTGACGCGATTATTGATTACAAATTATTTGTTAATACGAATAAATATTCAAACATAACTTATTTTTAAAAAATAGATTTTCATTCATTTCAAATTAATTACTTATTTGTAAAGTACATATAATAAGTTTAAATCCTGTTGAAATTTGAAATTAACTATTTAATAATTTGTCATGGTCATTTCCATTGCAAAACCTATTACAAAGCATTTTTTGCTAATAAAATTAACAGTACTATTCAGTATCGTATTACACTATATAAAAACTTTATTTAATACAAAACAATCAAGCTTGCTTAATATAAACTTATATATGCTAGTATCTAATTTGTCATTAATTTTATTATTAATACAAGTATTCAAGTATTAATATCAGTATTGCCACTTATTTCATTATAAATGGAAATCAATATTTAAATATTAATTTTAAAAAACTAAAGGCATTTGGTTTTGTATTTTTATTAAATAAAAAATAAATTAACAAATAATACGCATATAATATATTATAATAATATCGTATATTATTAATGGCAGTCGTGCCACTTCAGCTCCCGTTCCCATACTGTCTCCAAACCCGTTCCCATCCAATGCTCCCGTATTTTCTGGTCAATCAGATCGCTGTCATCTCTACTCATATGAGACCTCCAGTCGCCGACAATACCCTTACGGAAGTGCACTCTAGCCGTTGATTGAGAGCTTTTCATGGCCTTAAAACTGGTCTCTCGTATAATGCGATCCAAAAGTATCTCATCAGTGGTTGTGTGTCCGCACCGGTCGTACAGTCGGTCCACATATTTGTGTCCCAAGAATGAGGCGATTCTCACAATACTGTCCCTCGGATTCGCTAACATCTCCTCATAGGTAATGACAGTACAGTTGCTGAACATCCGGTGCTCCCAATACGAGAGCGTGGCGTCAAAGTAGTTCTCATAAGGCATACGATGTCCGGGTATCCATACATTTTGCACGTACTTATTGATGTGGACCTCATACTTATCTTTCATGAAGTGATACCACGAAACGCATACGTCTTTCGGATTTCGCAAAACCATTAAATACTTGGCCGACGGGTTGTACGCAAAGTGCGTGAAACTCAGGTGTGTATACATGAATGTCACGTCCGGGTCTTGTTTTGGGGCGACCTCCCTGTCCAACACAAGCTCACCACACCTTTCCAAATAGTAAGCGCTATAATAAGGCTTATTTGTCGGTGGCTGTCCAGGGTGTAGCATATACTGCACTATTAATGTGGTCCACCAGGTGCCACATTTTTCGGGTGTTAGAAAAATGCGATCTCCCGGCCCGGGCTGGTAGTCCATCGCAAATTCAATATTCTTGATGTCCAGTGCTTTTACAAAGTTCACACCCCTTACCTCGTGATAAAAACTTTGTGAACGCTCACCCATTGTACCCTGATTGAATGATGTTCCTGATAATATAAATTAAAAATATTTGGTCATATTTTACAATAATAAAATTGACTATATTTCAGTTTTTATAGAAAAGCGTCCAAGGAAATATTTAGCAACTTAACAAATATCGTGATTATATGGAAAACACTAACACTAACTCATCATGAATAAAGTATTTTTGTAACCTATAAAATAATATTTTTTAATAGCAAAATTTAAACTTGATTACTAACAAATTAATGTTTGAATAATAATATTATTTTGTAAATTTTTAAATATTTTTGTAACATTTATAAACTATTATAATTTATAATTTACAATTATACCATAAATATTTTAAATATTTAATTAAAACTCATTTGATTTTTATAATGTATTAACAATGCAAGAACGGCAAGTGTTTCCGCCAATTGCAATTAAAACCGAGTGAATTATACTCGTATGCTATGGTATAATAAAACTATACAGGTTCTGTAATCTAGAGGAATGTCTTAGGTGTCCAAATCGGTGATTATATTAGGGACGCGCTATAAAATCTTTATACATTTTTGATAAAAAATCCTATTGAGCTACTCATACTATACGAGTCAGAGTTACAATACTAGGAATGAATGTATTTCAATGCAAAAATGTATAGGGTTTTTATAGCGCTTCCCTAATATAATCACCGATTTGGTCACTTAAGACATTCCGCTAGATTACCGGACCTGGATAGTTTTATTACCCCATACCATACGAGTATAATTCACTCGGTTTTATTGCAATTAGCGGAAACACTTGCCGTTCTTGCATTGTAAGCTAAATTAAAATACACATTAAATGTATGAATACTTTATTGCTTTTACAGACAAAGTCAATTAAAACATAATAGGCATATAATTATTAATGGCAGTCGTGCCACTTCAGCGCCCGTTCCCATACTGTCTCCAAACCCGTTCCCATCCAATGCTCCCGTATTTTCTGGTCAATCAAATCGCTGTCATCTCTACTCATATGAGATCTCCAGTCGCCGGCCATACCTTTCCGGAAGTGTTCGTCCGTTACTTTATGAGTACTTTTCATTGACTCAAATGTTGACGCCTGTAGTAAACGATCCAATAGTGTATCACCACAACTACCGGTGCCGTCATCCCCATTGAACCGGTCGTACAGTCGGTCAACGTATTTGGTGCCCAAGAATGAGGCGATTCTCACAATACTGTCCCTCGGATTCGCTAACATCTCCTCGTAGGTAATGACCGTACAGTTGCTGTCCTCCCGGTGCTCCCAATACGAGAGCACGGCCTCAAAGTACTGGCCATACGGACAGCCATTTCCAGATTCCATAAACTTTAAATAGCGTTCAAATGTGGTCTCAATGTTAGCCCACTTTTTGAAGTAATAATAATGAGAAACATAACAGTCTTTCGGATTTCGCAAAACCATTAAATACTTGGCCGACGGGTTGTATGCGAATGATCTGAACGACAGGTGCGTTCGTATGAAATTGAGCTCCGGGTCCACCACACGATCCCCGGCCTCCCTGTTCACCACTGCGTGGCCCTCGTTCTCAAGCAAATAGCGATCGTAATCAGGCGTTCCTTTCGATAACCTCCCGGAGCTCATGATATATAGGACGATGTAGGCCGACCACCAGGTGCCGCATTTGGGGTAAGTTAACAAAACGCGATCGTTAGGACCGGGCTGGTAGTCCATGGCGTACTCGATGCACTCCTGGTTAGCTCCGAATACCTGTCCCCTAACTACCTTAAAATGTTTTTTAACAAGTTCGTTCATTGATACTTTTAAAAATAGCTTTAATAAGTATTGAAATAATATAATTTTATAATAAATTAATATAGCTTTCTACTTTGTCAACTATATTGTTGTCAAGCACATTTATTTAAAAGTCATTTAGTTTTAAAATTAAAATTTAAAAATGAATGTTTTTTAATTTAATGACTATGTAGTTTTATATAAAATGTAGTTTCATAATACTCAATTAAATCTAAAAAATAAATCATCTCTAGGTCAAATAACTTACATAAAAAAATAAAATAATTTTATAATAACTAAATCCACGTTGTATAAATATTGATCAATGTTAAATTTTTAAAAATACAAACTAATTTAACATTAACTAAATTGTTATTTTATATATTTACGATATTTACAATAATTCAAATTAGTTTTGTAACCGATTATTTTATTACGTATATAAATTTGTATACATAAACGCCCCGCTATTTTATTCTGGTTGAATGCACGTTATAATATAAATTTAATTTGTTTTAAATTTATTTATTTGAATATTTGTCAAAATTAAAATTGACATTATTTAAGGTTTATAAAAAGTATTCTAAGATATATTTAAGAATTTAGCAATTCATCATGCATAAAGTATTCAAACATTTTAAAATATTTAAAAAATGATTTTACATTTTATTATAAAGTAGGATTATAAAGTAGTAAATTGTTGGCAACCAGATTTTGTGATGCTTATATGCTGATAAGTTATATTAAATATCCATAAACATAGATAACCAGATATATTATCATTAATAGTGATAAGCAATTTAAGCGCTAAGTAGATCATGTCAAATAAACTAACCATTTTATTTATACCGAACAATGGTGTGGGTCACGTGAACGCCTCCATTGGTATAGCTACAGCCTTAGCTAGACAAGGTCACAGGGTCATTTTTGCGGTACGTCAACTATGGGCCTCTATGATCACCTATCACGGTTTGGCAGTAAGCCTTATAGATGATCCAGTAAATAATGATCCTGGTAATGAAATGACGTCCAAAGTGATGCAGACTGAGATATTGAGCACAAACATGTCATCGGGACTGTCGACGTCGGATAAGTTGATGAAAATGGTCGATATTTGGAAGACCAAAGTGGACGAACAGATCGAGTTGGACGGCCTACTTGAGCGCATAATGCCCTCAATTGAGCCTGATCTTATTGTCATGGATCAACTATTGGCACTTCCGTACGTACAGGCGTCCGGCATTCCGTACGTATTGGTTTGTTCGTGTAATCCACTGAAGCTATTGGATGACCCCCGGACACCGCCATCATTTTCCGGTAGATATATTTGAGCTTGAACACTTTTTTTGCTTGAACACTTTAATGAACGTAATAAATGTTGGCCATGGCGAAAATGTTAGCTCAAAATGTTTGTCAATTTACAGGTCTGTCCGCATCGGGCGATAAAAACAAGTGGAAGAAGTTTCGCCAACTTATGTACGACAGACCTCCGGGTGAGGTATGGATTAAATTCAATGATTACGTGGTGTCGAGGGGTTGTCCGCCATTGGAGACCAACAGGTTTTTCAATGTCGACCACTGTCTCTGCATTTACGCCTTTCCCCGGGAGTTGGACTACACGGACATGAGACCACTGCCTAAGAACTGCATACAGTTTGACCACTTTATGAGACGGGACAGAGAGGACAAGCAGTTTGATATTCCTGATCAATTACGTGATCAACCGGGTCAACTTGTTTACTTATCCCTGGGCTCGCATTGCTCGTCGGACTTGGGGCTAATGCGCCGATTGGTCGCCATTTTGGCCAAATCTAAGCACCGGTATATCGTATCGAAAGGTCCTAAACATATGGAGTATGACTTACCGGACAATATGTGGGGTCAGAAGTCCGTGCCTCAGCTCCAAGTCTTACCGTTAGTTGATTTGGTGATAACCCATGGAGGGAATGGCACTCTGTGTGAGAGTACGTATTATGGAAAACCTGTTATTATACTACCAGTGTCATTTGATCAGCCAGATAATGGGGTACGGGTTCAGGATAAGGGCTATGGGCTGATGCTTAATGGCTACCTGTGCTCTGAGACCGAGTTATTGTCAGCCGTCGAGACTCTGTTGAACGACAAGTCATTGAATGAAAAGCTGTCGAAAATGTCTCAAAGAATACAAACGAATAACAGTTTAGCAAAACTCCCGGAAATACTTGAGGACTACATTGAGAACCGACACAAATATGTTAACTAATAGTAAAGTAGTTATAAATTTTTATTTAACCAAGATATTATACATTTAATCAAGTATAAAGTGACAAAATCATTTTAATATTCGTAGCGATTGGTACCAAATTTTCAATAACTAGGTTTAGGTTCAAATAGTAAAGTATTAATTATTGCACTGAAAGTTACAATAAAAATTATTCAATTTAAAGCAACATGAACAATTAAAAGTTTATTTTAATTTAATTACTTTATTTTAATTATATGTCGGATATATTTGCTTTAAAAATAAAGTAGTGTCGCCCAAATATCTCAGACATATGCAAAAGCAGGCAATTCAGATTTGATGAGATATTTTTATACAAAGATTTCGAAAAGAATCTAACATAGATTACGGTTATAATTTATAGTTTATAATTATATATATATTTATAATTTATTTATAACTTATAAAAATTTAAATCTCTAACTTCTGTAAAAACATTAAAAAACTCTAATAAATATCAAATTTTAATAAAATATTTTACGAAAGAGTATTCTGTACCGAATAAAAATAAACTACAATTAATACTGTCTATATAAACTATTATTTTTCTATGACTTAACATCAAATAAACATAAAATTTATTACTTCATCAAACAAAATAATTAATTTAATAATCAAGTTAATATAT